GTTCAAGACCAGCCTTGGAAATGTAGTGAGATGCTATTTCTACAAAAAATTTTTAAAATAGCCAGACATGGTGGTGTACACCTGTAGTCCCAGTTACTTGGGGAGCAGAGGTAAGAGGATCCCTTGAGCCCAGGAGGTCAAGGCTGCAGTGAGCCATGATCACACCACAGCACTTCAGTCTAGATGACAGAGTGAAACCCTCAAAGGTAAATAAATAAATAAAAATTAAAAAATTGAAATTGACAAGTTGGCAAATTCACCAAGTGGCATACAGTAAGCATGTACAGCTTTTCACGTCAGTCATACTTAAATAAAGTGGTTTAAAAAGAAATTGACAAGTTGATTTCAAAATTTGTACAACAGTACAGATAATCTAAATATTTAAAGTAGTGCTGGCTGGGACACGGTGGCTCACACCGGTAATCCCAGCACTTTGGGAGGCCGAGGCGGGTGGATCACGAGGTTAGGAGATCAAGACCATCCTGACCAACAGGGTGAAACCCCATCTCTACTAAAAATACAAAAATTAGCTGAGCGTGGTAGCTCATGCCTGTAATCCCAGCTATTTGGGAGGCTGAGGCAGGAGAATTGCTTGAACCCAGGAGTTGGAGGTTGCACTGAGCCAAGATCACACCACTGTCCTCCAGCCTGGTGATAGAGTAAGACTCTGTCTCAGTCAGTCAGTCAACAATAAAGTAGTGCTTTCCTATAGAACTTTCTGTGTTGGTGATAATATTCTGTAGTTGTACTGTTCAGTATCGTAGCTAGCCAAATGTGACTGTTGAGCACTTACAAAGTGTTTAGAGCAACAGGAACTGATCTTTTAATTTAAATGTAGATACTCATGCGGCTAGTGTCTACTGTATTGAACACTGCAGAAAGTAACCCTGAAAATGAAAGACGTTCATACTACATGACGTTGAAACTTAGTATAAAGCTACAATAATTAAGACAGTGTGCTACTGGCATAAGAAATACGGATTAGTAGAACAGAGTGAGAGCTTAGAAATCAATCTATACCTAATGTGGTTTATTGCTTTTTGACAAAGATGGTAAAGCAATCCAATACAGCAAGGAATTTTTTTAACTAGTAGTGCTGGAGCAACTCGATATCCATATGGAATAAGATGAACCTCCAATTCCATTTCATACCATATACAAAAATTAATTCAAAATGGAATATAGACCTAGATGTAAATGAAGAAAAGTGAAAAACTTCCAAAGGAAAACAGGGTAGTTGTGGCAGATTTCTTAGAGGAGCAATAAAAAGTAATAACCATGAAAAAATAAGTTGATAAATTAGAATTAATTAAAATTTAAAATTTCTCATCAGACTGGGCACAGTGGCTCATACCTGTAATCCCAGCACTTTGGGAGGCCAACATGGGCAGATCACTTGAGGTCAGGAATTCGAGACCAGCTTGGCCAACATGGTAAAAACCTGTCTCTACTAAAAATACAAAAATTTGCAGGGCGTGGTGGCAGGCACCTGTAATCCCAACTACTCAGGAGGCTGAGGCAGGAGAATTACTTGAACCCATGCAGCAGGGGCTGCAGTGGTCCAAGATTGTGCCACTGCACTCCAGCCTGGGTGACAGAGGGAGACTGTGTCTCAAAAACAAAAAATAAAAAAATTGAATAAAATAAAATTTCTCATCAAAAGGCAAGACTAAGAAAATGCAAAGGCAAGCCAAAGACTTCAAGAAAATGTTTGCAATACATATATCTGACAAGTTTATTGTCAGATATATAAAGATCTCCCACAACTCACTGATTTAAAAAGACAACCCAGTTCGGAAGTGCCCAAAAGATTTGAATAGATTCTTCACAAAGAAGATAAATGCTCAATAACAGTATTATTAGTTGTCAGGGAAATGCAAATTCAAACCAAAATGAGATATCACTACACATCTTCCAGCATGGCTAAAAAGATTGACAATCCGCATGAGGCCTAGAATTAGACAGTTGAGTGGAGCAACTGGAACTCATACTTTGTTGGAAGTATAAAATCGTACAACCATTTTGGGAAAAGATTTGTCAATTTCTTATACAGCTGAACTTACACCACCATATGACCCAGAAATTCCACTCTTAGGTAATTACCCAAAAACAGATGAAAACATATATCTACAAAAAGATTTGTACAAGAATATTCATAGATGCTATCAACAGAAAAATGGTTAAACTGTCATATAAACAAACTCGTATAATCACAAAGTGGAATTATTGTGATTAACTGTCTCAATTTGCCTGGGTCAGAGTTTTCTAGAATGTGGGACTTCAAGTGCTAAAACCAGAAAATTCCTAAGCAAATCAGGAAGAGTTGGTCACTGTAATTATCCTCTCAGCAATAAGAACAGCTAACTCCTGATAGATTCAAAAATATGGGTGAATCTCAAAAACATTCTGCAGAGTGAATGAAACATATAAGAGTTCATATTCTATGATGCGACTTACATGAACTTCTAGAGCAGGTAGAACTAAGTTGTAAAAACAAAAGCAGGGAAGTATTTCTGTTTGGTGTTTGGTTGTTGGGAAGGGGTGTGAGGGAACTTTCTGGAATGATGATCTATATTTTGTGGAGATTTAGGTTACACAGGTATATACATTTGTCAAAACTCAATGAATATTAAAGGTTTCTGCATATCTGCATTCTAAAAGTATCTGTAAACAACTACTGAACTCTAATGTTATGGATACTGAGGTGTTTAGGAGTGAGGTGTAACTCTTTTTCACTTACCAGGTGTGGAATTTCTTAAAATGTATTATGTAGGTGTCAGAGACCTAAAGGAAAATCATTCCTTGAGCATTTCTCCTGAGTTGAATTGTTTGTTCTGACTCTATTTTAAGAAGGTTTTCTTCAACCTTTGATAACACTTTCCATGTTGCTTGATCCTTATTTTTCATTTTGTAATCCTGTATTTTGTAGGGTGAATCTTTTGTTTTCTAAATTAATGGGTGTCTTCATTGTTTTTATATATGTAATTTGATTAGAGGTTTTGTTTGTTGTATTAATTGCTTTGGTATTATTGAGTCTTTGTTTTTTTCTCACAACCTTTTTTTTGAAAGTTTCCATAGTGTTTACAAATTTAAACAGAGTCTCTGTTTTATAGCATGTTTCTTTCTGAACAATTGTCTTATTTCTCAACGCAGTACATAAAAACTTTTGCAGTTATTTTTGAGGATGGTAATTCTTATAGCATTCTGTTTTCTTGTTCTTGTTTCATTACTTTTCTTTAATAATACATTACTTCTAAAATTGGATCTAGATTGGTTTTAAATTAACTTTTTTTATTAACAACTTTTTGGATTCACAGAAATAAAATAGCATATTATAGAAAATTTTAGCATTAATTTTTTAAACTTTGCTAGTTTTATTTTTACACATATTTTTGTGATGGTGGTGTGTTAGCTCAAAGAAGGTACTGTGCTACTATCCCAGTATTTTTCAGGGTATCTTTTAGTTCTTGCTTTTCAAATACCTCGAAAATGAGCTGTTCTGAGGAAGTTAGTTATAATAATGGTTCTCAACCCTGCAAGAGCCCTGCAAGACCCAGTGCAGTTCTAATAACAAACATTTTTAATTATCTGTTTCTATCCTGAAATTAATGGATTTTTAACCTACCTACACATGTAAAATTCAGTGTAATTGCCTAAATTGTAACATAAGGAGGAAATAAAAGGAGAGTAGTTAATAAATATTTTGATATGTTACTTTTGGAGCATAATGTAATAGATGTTTGTATTTAGACATAGAAACCAATGAATGGGGCAGCTACAAGTGCAGACTGTTACAGGTGTGTTGCATGGATCACTTGTATACCACAAGCAGTATTGCTGTCAATGTCATAATTTTCTGAAATATTTGCACAACTGATAAAATTCTGAAGAAAACAAAGTACAAATTTCCTTCAGTTTACACATTCTATGTGTTTCTGGAAATTTTGGCATCTATTTAAACTATGCAAACATATACTTTGTTTATATTCAAAACAGAATTAGGTTCTGACTCAGGTAATTATAAACAGGTGTTTCATCTTCATGAGTGTCCAGGAGGACATTTGAAAGTTATGAAAGCCAGAGGATAATTATCTTATGTGGAGGATACTCCTATGACTTGCATGTCATCTAGTATCCCTGGACCCTGTGCACTAAATGCCATGAGTGCCCCTTAATCATTTTGACAACCAAACACAAATTTCCAAAACACTATATTGGGTGTTTCTCTACAGTGGAACTCTTTGGCAAGGATGTCACTTCTCAGAATAATGCTTTTAATACATAAGATAAAATACATAGGATTGCAAAGAAAATGGATTGTATTGAAATACAGACCCCAGGTTAAGAATCTCTGCAAAAGGTAACTACCACACCCCTCTCCAGTATACACACTCCAGTTGAGAATCGCTAAGTTGGAGGGGCTTTTTATATGAAGGGAAATGGTGAAAGCTATAGTCTTAAAATTTTATGAATTTGAAAGTACATGTGAGTGCCCAGAACATTTGCCACAAACATTATGTCATCAGTAGGGGACTAGCAACCACTCTCTAATAGAGTCTAAAAGAATGAAAGCAAATAGCATAGGAACTCTTAACTCTATTCTAATTTTGTATCAGAAATTAAGTGTATCAAATGGACTAATGCTTCTATTTTCCATTCTTTTCACATTATGACTACCTCTTTGATTAACATCAATTAAAGTTCAGATCTTTTGCCAACTTGTTTATTCATATATTATAAGGTAACCTTGACAGAACAAAATCTTCCAGCTGTTTGGCAAGTTGGCAAAGAACTTACACATATTAATTTACACATATTAAACACAAGCAGTCCTAGGAATTGGAATTGAAAAGCAAGATAATCAAGAGTTTATTTCAACAGGTGCTCACTTAATGCTTTCTAGGAGTGCATTGCAAGAGGTAACCGTATTGTATGTACATGAATAGCTTGTCATGACAAATGTGGAGAATACTAAAGATGATGATTTTTATTTGTTTTAGGGTATGTCTTTGTGCCAGACTGTCGTCGTGGGCTCTGTAGTCATTCTTCTCTACTCTTCGAGAGCTTGTTACAATTTGGTGGTGGTCACCATATCTCAGGATACATTAGAAAGTCCATTTAATTATGGCTGGGATAATCTTTCAGATAAGGTAAATACCTACCACATATTGCCAGTTTAACAATGTGATAATTAACTTACCCTCAACTAGGAGAACATTGTAGTGCTTGACTTACAAACACATTTATGGAACCTCTGTCTACTGTCAGTAATCATACTTAAAGCTTTGTGTTTAAAAATCACAAGTGTCACATATACGTGTGACATTTGAAATCATTCTTCACAGATAACTTCTCCCAAAGGAGTATTTTCTCTCTCTCTTTTTTTTTTTGTACATAATAATAATGCCACAAACCTCTTGGTCATAAGCCAGTTTTACTAATTTTTGTTAATGATGGCATTCAAATATTTCTAGATAAATGAATTGCCTATTGTTAGCCAGTGAATGTGGTCTTTAATTTGTTAGGAGGAAAGTAACTCGCCACTGCCCAAGAACTGCATATAATCTTAATATTTGGTTCAGGTTTAGATGTTTAAATAATGGCTTTTCATAAAAATCTGGCTTTATCAGTCTTGATAATGGGAGAGAGCATTTGTAGTTCCTTGGGTGTCCAGGTATTTGTTATAATTCCCAGTACTCTAGCTATGCATATTTAACTTTCCAGCATTCCCATCTGCTTCCTTAATGTACATTTTGACATAGCTATGTGTCATATCTTTATAGTAATTTAGATTGGTACTGAATTTAAGGCATCCTGCAATACTATTTTTCATTTATCTTTCTAAAGTGAAAGAATTTTCACATGTGGTTCCTTGTGGCAGATTCTCTTTACTCCCTTTTCCATTTCCCTCTCCCAACACCTGATAGAATAGGAACAAATTTAACATATAGATTAGGTCCAATCGCGTTTTTTAAGCAGAGCTGAGCTGAGTGACTTAACATGTTACATTTTTCTACAGGTGTAAATCAGGGTAAGTGCTGTTATTTTGCCTGTGGAGCAGCTGGAACAGTAATGTCTTCAAAAGTCATTATGAGGCCTAAATATGAGATCACATCTTATTATCCGTATACTAAAATTGTCATAAATGGATGCATTGAAAAATTAACCACTTTTTATTCTTTGTAACTTCAAAGCATTTTATGTCCTTTAAAGGATAAGTATCATTACATGAGAAACCACAAAACACAGAAAAATTTAGAGTTTATGTGCTTGTAGTTGATACATTTTATCTTACCTGACTTGAAACAAGTTAACTGTGGAGGTGATTGCTTTTACATTAAACAGGTGTAAAAATTCTCTGCCATACTCTATTTACAGGCTCATGTAGAAGACATAAGTGGAGAAGAGTATATAGTATTTGGAATGGTCCTTTTTCTGTGGGAACACGTGCCAGCATGGTCGGTGGTATTGTTTTTCCGGGCACAGAGATTAAACCAGAATTCGGTATGATACCATAATATTCCCCAGTGCTTGTTCTCCTATTTTTAAAAATTATGGAACATTTATATTGATTTTCTATTTTTGGCAAAGGTTAAGACTAAAAATTATTATAGATTCTTGCTTCCTTTCTTAGTGGAAAAGTAAAATCATCATATGCCATCTAATACTTTGTTCACAGGCACCTGCTGGCATGATAAATAGTCACAGTTACAGTTCCAGAGCCTACTTTTTTGACAATCCAAGACGATACGATAGTGATGATGACCTGCCAAGATTGGGAAGTTCAAGAGAAGGAAGGTAGATGTAACAAAGCCACTTAACCTGAATTAGTATTGAAACTGATTGAAAAAAACAAATCTAAGCTTTAAACCAAATATGAAAAAAGGTGATTTGGTGGTACTATGTCAATAAATAAGATTGGCAATATTGGAATTTAAAGCAGATGTTAAACCCAGGGTGGGACCTGCGTTATCAGTAACTACCATCTGACTTAAAGCCTATATGCCTCTGGGCAAAAAATGGTATAATTTTAAATTTTGTTGGTTCAGAGCTGTTTGTGGGAGGAAATACTATTGTAGTGATTATGTATCTGTTTCCGTATTTTTTTTTTTTTTTTTGAGATGGAGTCTTGCTCTGTTGCCCGGGCTGGTTTCGGCTTACTGCAACCTCCGCCTCCCAGGTTCAAGCAGTTCTCCTGCCTCAGCCTCCCGAGTAGCTGGGAGTACAGGCAAGTGCCACCATGCCTGGCTAATTTTTTTTTTTTTTTTTTTTTTTGAGACGGAGTCTTGCTGTGTCACCAGGCTGGAGTGCAGTGGCACAATCTCGGCTCACTGCAACCTCCGCCTCCTGGGTTCAAGCGATTCTTCTGCCTCAGCCTCCCAAGTAGCTGGGACCATAGGTGCATGCCACCAGACCCAGCTAATTTTTGTATTTTTGGTAGAGACGGGATTTCACCATGTTGGCCAGGATGGTCTCTATCTCTTGACCTCGTGATCCACCTGCCTTGGCCTCCCAAAGTGCTGGGATTACATGCGTGAGCCACAGTGCTATGCAAAATCCAGAGAAACCGTAGATAAAACTCTTCGGAAGCTTAACTGCCATAGGAAATGCCCCATGCCCTCCTTGTTTCAAAACTATTTCAAGTCCTTAAGTAATACACTATTGGCTGTGATTTGGACAAGGAGAAAAGCTTAATGCACACCTATATAGTGCCTTCAGCTTGATACATTTTCTGTAATCCTAACTTCATCTGGACAAGTTACATAACCTCAGTTTTTTGAGCCTTCTTTTCATCTGTAAGATAGGGATAATAGAACCTATCTGTCTCAGAGGTTGGTTGTGAGGATTAAGTGAATGTATATGTGTGTCTGCATACATATATACATACATAGATACCTTAGAGCCTAACACATACGGGCTACATTATTATTATCATCTGACAATCAACTTTTTCCAGTTCTGATGGTATTTATTCATTCTTTTGTAACATAATGTTATACAGAATCCAGGATATTAGATAAAAGTCATTAAATTTGTAGAAAGGCATTATGTTATTTGACAAAGAACATATTTCAGTATATTTGATTGCTAACTATATTATAAAATTCATTGAAAATGCTAAAAATTCAAATGTGACTTATATTTTGATCATAGTCCTATGATTTCTTTGCCTTTTTTTGTTACAGTTTACCAAACTCGCAAAGTTTGGGCTGGTATGGCACCATGGCTGGGTGTGGCAGCAACAGTTACACAGTCACTCCCCACCTGAATGGACCTATGACAGATACTGCTCCTCTGCTCTTTACTTGTAGTAATTTAGATTTGAACAATCCTCATAGCTTATATGTGACACCACAAAACTGACAGCATCACCAAGTCATGATTCTTGAGTTGTTTTTCATAGATGTGTATATTCATTGTGTTCAAATTTCATCTACATAAACATTCCATTATCTGTTGCAACTGAAAACAAAATCTGGAAGTTTGGCTGTGTTTGGTAAAGAACAGAGCTGTTATTTTTGACATAGTAAAATGGAAAGTTTGGAGTAGGAGAAAAGAGAGATTGCATCTTAAGCACTTGATGGCCTCCAAAAATCCTGACTTTGGAACATCAAATGCATATGTGCACTTTTATCTTTGTTCTGAAAGAGTCACTGCAGTCCCCAAAGTCATATGCTAATGTTCACACTGAAATCTACTATATTGTACACCAAACTGGAAGGCAATTTTCCTATGAAAATCAAAGCCTATATATTCAATGGTATGCTCTATATGGAAATCTTAATAAAAATTTTATAATATGAACAGTACACAGAGTTAAGGAATAAAAATATATCATTCTTTATAAAAATCTTCTGAAATGTTAATCATTGAAGACAGTTCTTTTAAGCATAATTTTAAAATGCCGACTGAAATTCAATCATTTTAAACAAATGATAGTAGTAATCCATTAGTTCTGGCCAGCAGTGTTCTTTGGAGAGCCACAATTTCAAGAGGAAAATATGCCAGTGAAAATTGTGTGGCTACTTTGAGTAGAATTGGTCAATTGATTATTTTGTATACAATTGAGATATATGTAGGAGTTTAAACATAACTCTTCAAGAAAGCAATAGTGACTTTTGCATAGGGTGATGTTGGTAGAAACTTCTTGGGACTAAACAAGTTTAGAAATACATTTAAGAATTATTCACAAAATATATAATTCTAAATTAAAACAAATATATTTTCAAAAGCATTTGATTTATCTGAAGCATGATATAGCTGGTCTTACCTAGTAAATCAGGATTGTCCTCAGGTAAATGAAATCATGATACATTATTGCAGTGAACTCAAGTGCAATATTTTGTGAGACATGTAATTCCTCCTATGATTTTCACATTTTTATATCTTGTATATGGGAAAAGCCAAATTAAATTGAATTCAAATTAATTCCAGCATTAGACTAAATGAGCAACCTTAAGTAAATGTACGAACTAGGTAAGTATAAAACCACAGGTTAACAATATTGGAATACTTTTAAAATTATATTAAAACTGTCTTAAATGTCCCATCCTGAATCTAAAAAACAAAAAAGAAAATGGTAGGCTAATACAGAATTTTAAAATGCACTTTGTACCAGTGTCTATATAGAAAGTAGATGCTGAATACCTCAAATGCCAAGGGAACAAGCAACATTGGGAAGTTGTCACAACATGCTCAAAGACAACTAACTACAACTGTCTGCCATCTATTTCTTCAGAACTAGAACTAATACAACTATCCTTTGCTGTTTTATACTTTGATTACAATGCTATTTCCTCTTGGTTAAAATGTATTTCAACTTTTTAACAACTGATACAATAACTTCACAAAAGTATAACATTAGATTGAAACCCTAAGGAAAAATTGAAATTGCTAATGCTTTTGATCTTTTGGGAGGCCAGTACACAGACAAATTTATTTATTTATTTATTTTTTGAGACCAATTCTCGCTCTGTCACCCAGGCTGGAGTACAGTGGCATGCTCTCGGCTCACTGCAACCTCTGCCTCCCAGGTTCAGGTGATTCTCCTGCCTAAGCCTCCTGAGTAGCTGGGACTACAAGAACATGTCATCACACCCAGCTAATTTTTGTATTTTTAGTAGAGACAGGATTTCACAACATTGGCCAGGATGGTCTTGATCTCTTGACCTCATGATCTGCCCGTCTGGGCCTCCCAAAGTGCTGGGATTACAGGCATAAGCCACCTCGCTGGGCCAATTTCTCCTTTTTATGATACAAAATGACTTTGTATTCAATCAGAAGCATATACTTATGTTATTTTGAGTTTATAAGTTCTCTCATTGTAACCAAATTATTTTAAAATAGTATAAAAAGTTAACCGTGGTATTAACAGTGACAGCAGTACATTTTTATTGCAACTTCAGTTGTTAGATTTCGTCTCAGAATGCTATTTTGAATCTATCCAATCATCTAGAACTGTCTGAAAAGATATGTTGTCTTTATTAATCCTTGGGGTTCAAGATAATAAAGTTTTTCTAGTAAGGCTTCCCTCGGTAATGTTCCTATTTGACCATATTAACAAAGATTACTTTTTTAAAATTTTCAGATAAAATAACTTGGTTCTTCCTGCTGCATAAGTTGATTGTTCCAAATTTAAGATTTGTAAGTTTATTCTTATCACTGACTAGGTACCCAAATTCTTGCATTTGTCTTCTTATACACATCTAACACATCACCAAAGACAAAGATACACTCTGGCCCAATCTTTGCTTAAAAATTCCAAAGCACTAGGAGCACTTTAAGTTTGGTCTCGAAAGGAGTTGTTTATAAAATCAAAGGGCTACCGATTCCCTCTTCATCCTGCACTGAAGCACATAATGACAATATCAAACCTTAATGTTCATTGATTAAAAAGTGACTTTCATTATTAAGTGTGTAATTCTGTAGTGATTAGCAGTATTTGTTTTCATCATTTCACTTGGGTGGCCATTAATTTTTGAAACTTTTACCACTCATTGTAGTTGGTTGTAGTTTTATGAAAAATGTAATTTATAGCTAAAGTGGCTTTTTTATGCATAGCTGCCTTTTTTATTGTTTAACAGTGTTTCTCAGCTATATAATCAGTTCCAAACTGGTTGTAAAAGTATAGCTGTGGCCAATGAATGTATTTATTTGTTGTTTCACTAAATTGTAACAAAACACTACTATTAAAAATAAAAGTGTTTGTGCTTTTCTTTAGAGGTCTGGTTTTCTTCATCTCTCATAATGGACTATATTGAGTTTCTATCATATAAGGGTAAGAACCTAATGCTACCACAAAAAAAAAGAGAAAAAAACATCAGGAGTTACAAATGATAGTTTGCCTTTAGTGAGCTTATAATTACTTACATCTGGATGTCATATCGCTTAATGTTATATACCAATTTGATATCAAGTGCTATGGAGTTTAAAATGTCAATACATTATTAGATAGTATATATTTATTCAAACATTAAGCTAAGAAAAATTGTTGTATGAAATAATTTATAACACCTCTCTCCTTCCTCTTAGAATCTTAAACAGGAATCCATTTGTCTACCTTATAATCCTGGAAAGGTATTGATTATTCAAGAAATTCCTCAATGATGCTGACTTTTCCCAGGAAAGAAGTTCCTTTTTATCCAGAAGAGAACCCTTTCATGACCCACCAAAAACCACACCAAATATTGAATGCAATTACAGCTTTATTGACCCCTTCAAGTCTACAAATCCTTGGGACTCTACTGACCCTTGCTTTAAAGTGAAGGGAGTGAAAGTATTTGGAATAAAGGTAGGACCTCTAATATAATAAAGATGTCACTTTAAAAGCAATTTAATCAACAAACATTTATTAAACGTTCATATGCCAAAAACTATGCTATGGAGATGCAAAAAATAAAAAGGTTCCTTTCCCTGCCCTTAATGAGCTCACATTCTAGGAAAGAAGACTTTTGAAAAATAAAACAATACAGTACAATTTAAGTGACATACAGTAGAGGTAGGTTGTAATTACAGTGGTGACACAAAGAGGAAGTTAGATGATTCTCCTTGAGTGGAGCAAGGGAGACTTCACAGAGGAGATGCTTATGTCAGGCCTGCAAGATGCATAGGAATTTTCCAAGTGGGGAAGGATGACTAGCACACTTGAGGCAAAGAGTACAGCATTTACCAAGGCAGGAGGCCTGGCCATATGGGGCTTCTGAAGAACTGTGAGTCTGTTTCACCAGAACATTCAGTGGAGGAAGCACATCGCACATAAGAAGACCTTGTACACCAAACACAGGAGTTTGGCTTTCTCCTGAAGGTTCCTGAAGTCACTGAAGGGTATTAAGCAGGGAGTAACACTGTCAGAGTGCTTCTAGAAAACCTACTCTGGTAACATCGGGTTGCAACAGAGAGGAGACCAGCTAGGTACAGGAGGCAGATTAGTGTAATACCGTAGGTATTAATAATAGCAATGAAGATGAAAGATAGCGATGCATCAGAGAGGTGGAGATAAAATCAGAACTTAGACACTAAATGATAGGGGGAAGGAGAGGAGAGGCATTAGCCTAGAAAACTTAGAATATAATGGTTCTAAAATTAGCCAAAGTAAGGAACAGAGGCATTAGAGTAAGTTTTGGAGAGAATAAATGTTTTAAGACACAAAAAGGTATCTGTGGAACCACCAAGTAAAGTGCACCAGGCAGATGGATTGAGTTTGACTAAAGGATTTAGGAATCACTAAATTGAAATTACCCAAGCATGAGAAGTGGTGTTATGATTAAGAGAGAATAAATGGAAGTCTGAGGAATAACATTTAAGGAATAAGGCCAAAAGGGGGGTCGGGGGGGTGGTCAGCAGTGAGCAAAATGTTAAGAAATCAAGGGAATCTTTAAAGTAGGGGTTGTCAACAATGTCAAATACAGGGAAAAAAAAGTCAAATAATAGCTCGTGAACTAAACTGTGGATTTAGAATTAAGATTTTAGACTTCACAGGAAGGGGTTGTTAAGAACTACAGCCAAATGGCAGATTTCAGTTAAGGAGCCAGTAGAAGGTGACAAATGGAGGTAAGAATATTCCTTCAAAAACACTGGCTGTTTAAAAAAAAAAAAAAAAAAATGAAGGGAGGCATAAAATGAGAGAGAGGGATACACCAAAAAAATGGCCTTTTGAATCCACTACTGTATTTTATAGAGAGTGATTATAGTCTTTTGAGTCTCCAAGAAGACTGACTTAATCAGTGGGTTAATGTCTATCTCTTTCTGCCATAGAGAAAATGAAGTGTCAAAGGAAAATAGGATACATTGTTAAACTTACTTCTGTGATTATTAATTTAAAATATACTGAATACATATACATACATTCATCCCACAAATATTTATTAGATACTAAGTATGTGCTTGGCACTGTACCAGGCCTTAGGGACACAGAGAAGAAAAAGTATACAACAGTGTAAACTGACATTTCTTAACCACTATATAAATAAATCCTGCTCCACTAGTAATGTGACATTTCAACATATTATACCTGATGAGACATATGTAAAGAGGGCACATGATTTTGAGGTATATAGCTTCTTTTTCTCTACAATTACCATGTGATATAAATTCCTAAACACCTTCAAATAGTTTTATAAATGAAGAGCTTCCCCTAATGAAAACCTCCTGAAATTACAGTTCAGTTTTAGGGAGACAATGGAAATGAACTTCGTGTATAAAAAACAAAAATTAAGCCAGGTATGGTGGCATGCACCTGTATTCCCAGCTACCTGGGAGGCTGAGGTGGGAAGATTATTTCAGCCCAGCCCAGGAGTAGCTCAAGTCCAGCCTGGGAAACATAGCAAAACCTTGTCTCTTTAAAAAAAAAAAAAAAAAAAAAAATTGGACTACCCTATTATTATACACATCAAGCATAAAACGGGCAACAAAACTCAAAAAGAAGTTTAGAATAGAACTTGAAATTATTATTCATTCTAAGGCTTATAGTATTGTAGTTCCAGAACTGCGGGAGGTTTTTTTTTCCAAGAAAATTATTTTTAGAAATTATTCAGTATTACCCTGAAGTATTTAGGATTAAAGGGGCAAGATGCCTGTAACTGACTTTCAAATGATTGAAGAAAACCTTGTCTGTCTGTGTGTACAGAAAAAACATGAAAGATAAAGCGCATATGAACAATTAGTGAATCTGGATAAGAGAGCTCTTTGTACTTAATTTTGAAACTTTTTTGTAAATTGAAAATTATATAAAAATAAAAAGTGCTCCCAAAATTTTATTTAATATTAGGGAAAGTATTATGAGAATAAATATGCAATCTATTCAACTTTTCACAATGTTTAGAAATCTCCTGTGCCTTTGAGTTGTTATTGTACCTTTCTACACACAAAAACAACTCAATCAAAATAGCAATGTAATTCTAAAAGTGATTTGTTTTATACCAATGTATTTTAAAATTGCCAGATAAAATACAAGACTCCCAGT